TACAAATTCTTTACCCGAATTGAAATTTAGTGTCATTCCTCTGACTTTATAAGTCACTGTGTAAAAATCTAGGCAGAGAGAATTAAAGTTAAAAGCATTGTTATTATTTTATCTGAAACTTTTTATAATATTTTAATAAAAAGCTCTTGAAATGGCAATCCAGGAAAGATTGTTACCAAATACCTTAACATACTCTCACTTGTCAGACAGTGGAACTACATTAAACTATATACATTTCACCCTACCTTGGTTGTTGGGAAGTTCTCAGTTAAAATTAATACTTAGTAACTAATCTTAAATGCCTGGTATGTTTGTCTCTTGTTTCTAATTGTCTTATTTATCTTTAGAAATAATTAATCTTCATTATTATTAGTTAGTGAACCTAACCTTCCATCAAGCTTTAAATAGAGTGTTTTCTACTCATTGATGCTTTCATAGAAGAGGAAATAGCAAGTAGGAAAGCCTCAAGGAAGGAATGCTCTGGGAAGCAAGGTTAGTGAGGTGAGGGGAGGTCTGAGACTAAAAAGGAGGCCTGATCTTTAAGTCACAAAAGCCATTGTAGGACATTTAGCTTTTATTTTGAGAACGGTAGGAAGCTATTGCACAGCTTTGAGCCAGAGAGTGACATACGACTTTTATTTTAAAGGGGTCATTCTTTATGTTGTGTTGAAAAGAGTCTGAGTAGTGGTACAGGAGAAAGCTGGAAGTTAGAAAACTATCACTATTATCCAAGTAAGAAATGATGGAGGCTGAGACTGTGGTTTTAAAAATAGAGAGGTTGAAAGTTGTTGATTGAACATATATAGAGATGGGTGAATCAGTGAATTCTCTGAAGATTAGATACTGAGTATAAGAGAGAGAGAATGGAATCAAGGACAACTCAAGGTTTTTGTCTTGAGAACTGGGAATGTGGACTTACCATTTATATCGTTTTTGAGGAGACAATTGAGCACGTTGGAGATGGTGGAAGATCAGAAATTAATTTTGAATATGTCTAAGTCTAAAAAGTCTATTAGACAACCAACTGAAGATGTCAAGTAGACAGATTTGAAATTTGCAAACCAGACTGGAATTCATTTCACATGAATAGCTTTATATTACAATTTTACAACTTTCTCAACTTATAGAGAAGTTTTATATATTACATGGTGACCGCTTTTTTTTTTCCTCAAAGAAGCTGATATTTTCGTTTGTCTAGTTTCCCTCTACTTTCAGACCTCATTTTCCCCACATTTTCTCTTTCCTGATTCAGTTGCTTTTTTAACTATTACCTTTGATGGAAGATCTCCCCTGACCACCCTGGTTAAAACTGCAGTCCCTTCCCCACCCCCATATAAACCTCTTCCCCTCTCTGATTTTCTCCCTAGCACTTCCTTTCACTATCTGACATACTACATCTTTGTTGGTTTAGTATGTCTACTATACAGTAAATTCAATGAAGGCAACAATTTTAATCCCTTTTCCCATGATATATTCCCCAAACTTAAGTGCTGGGCACATAATAAATATGCTATATAAATATTTACTGAGTGAATAAGTGGATGAATGATGTTGACCATAAGTGTGTTTTGGGAAAAGAAACATGTGCAAAAAGCTGGAGAGGAGGGGAACTGTTTTGGATACAGCATTTATATTCAGACAATAAAAGTTTGTCTGCAAGATAAATAACATAATTCTTGTTTTTCAAAACTAGTGTTTTAATAGATAATTACCCAAACAACAGTCATTTGGAAAATTTTTCTGAGGCTAAAGTGTTCAAGTGATTCTTTGCCTTCTCGAGTTTATAGGTGTTTGTGATGAACATGTGGCTAAAAAGTAGTGCCCTCTATCCCATTCTTTTAATTGTTGTCATTGAAAAAGTCCTATTTCTTTTAATGCTGAAAATTTAACGTATCTAAATTAAATAATTCTGAATGATTAGTCTCTGGTGAAATATATATGTGCTTACTTCTTTTCCTATTAAAAACAATGTGTATCAAGTAATGGTTAAGGTAGTAAAAAAAAAAAAGCTCAAAAGCAAAATTGATATTATAAAAATTACCTTTGCATGCTAAAGTACTTCAATCTACAGCTTGGGTTTTTTGGGCTTTTTAAAAAATATTATTTAATTTTTTTATACAGCAGGTTCTTATTAGTTATGTTTTATACATATTAGTGCATGTATGTCAATCTCAGTCTCCCAATTCATCCCACCATCACCACCCTCCCCCGCCCACCCCACTTTCCTCCCTTGGTGTCCATACATTTGTCCTCTACATCTGTGTCTCTATTTCTGCCTTGCAAAATTACATTGTTCATCTGTACAGTTCATCTGTACCATTTTTCGAGATTCCACGTATATGCGTTAATATACTATATTTGTTTTCCTCTTTCTGACTTACTTCACTCTGTGTGACAGTCTCTAGGTCCCTCCACATCTCTACAAATGACCCAGTTTCGTTCCTTTTTATGGCTGAGTAATATTCCATTGTGTATATGTACCACATCTTCTTTATCCATTCATCTGTTGATGGACACTTAGGTTGCTTCCATGTCCTGGCTGTTGTAAATAGTGCTGCAGTGAACATTGTGGTACATGACTCTTTTTGAATTATGGTTTTCTCAGGGTATATGCCCAGTAGTGGGGTTGCTGGGTCTTATGGTAGTTCTATTTTTAGTTTTTTAAGGAACCTCCATACTGTTCTCCATAGTGGCTGTATCAATTTACATTCCCACCAACGGTGTAGGAGGGTTCCCTTTTCTCCACACCCTCTCAAGCATTTATTGTTTGTAGATTTTTTCATGATGGCCATTCTGACCAGTGTGAGGTGATACCTCATTGTAGTTTTGATCTGTATTTCTCTAATAATTAGTTATGTTGAGCATCTTTTCATGTGACTCTTGGCCATCTGTATGTCTTCTTTGGAGAAATGTCTATTTAGGTCTTCTGCCCATTTTTTGTAAATCTTGTGTGTTTATATGCATATTTTAAATCAGTGAGTGATTATTAACCTACCTTTATATTTTTAAATAAATTTAAACATGTTTTTCTTATAATGAGGTATACTGGCTGTATTTCTTATAATGAGGTATGTATATGTATATTTGTGTATGTGTATATATATATGGCTTGGTTAAAATCACATGTAAATATGAATGGGCATAGAGCACAAACATTTCCCCTGGTGTGGGGTCATTGACTCTATAAAGCTCATGTACTTGTGAGAAACAAAGCTTTTTAAAAATGTCATCTCCAGACACGTCTCCTGCTTTCTGATTCTAATACAATTTAGAGAGAGAGAACACAATTTCTGGAGTCAAACTCCCAAGTTTAAATCCTGATTCTGCCACTTATAACTACTGATATTCAGCAAGTTACTGAAATCCTCTATGTCTCAGTTTGCTTATTTTTTAGATGGATCTATTCACATCATAGGGTTATTGTGAAGCTTATGAGTTAATATTTGTACAACACGATGCAGAGTTAACTGCTCAGACTTAGGTGACTATCATCATGATGATCATTGCCACCAATGCCACTATCATTGCCACCTTCCTCATCATCATCATCATCATTTGTTGAATGGTTTCACATTTATGACACCTCTGCTAATTCTGCACATTGGCAACATTCACTTTACTGATCAGTCCTCTTCAGATTTTCCAAAACATTTGTGGAGAGAACCAGCCTGATTGGCAAAGCTAAATAAAGTCCCTCCTCTATCCCTTTGCATGGATCTTCTCATGGGTTTGTAGTTAATTTATGGATAGGGAGCCCTTGAATCAAGGTAGATGGCCTACCCTGGTCTACTTTCAAGCTGTGTATGAAAATAAAATGAGGTCTATGTTGTTTCTTTGAGTGGAAGGTGATAGAGGAAATCAGGCTATAAGTGGATATTGGGTGCATTGGATGTTAAGATAGGCACACAAAATATCATAATACCACACCAGACTGTTGCCAAGGAAGGTAAGAGTCATCTGCATCCAAGAAATGTTCACGAAGCACTTGCCTATGATTCATGGTCCTGGGTCACTTAGAACTTGCAATCTAAGACATAGCAATTGAAATGTGTAGAGGGCATATGTAGTCAGCAGAATAGAAATGTGAAGACATCACCACCTGGCAAACAAAATTTTCACCTTCCCCGCTAATAATGGCAAGTGCACTGTACAAGTAGAGAACTTGAGTAAGTTCTAGAAGTCTGTGACTTGAGAATATTCAGCTGTCTGTCTAGGCTAGGTAGACACAGTGAGATACTCAGATTTCTCCTCATCAGTCCAAGGGATTGTCATGTAAAGTGTAAATTATGTTTCCAAAGCAACAATTTGGAAGGTTTTGATCTCTCTGCTCTTCAGCTACTATCAGCCCATCTTTGAAATTTAAAGTGACAGAACTACTTTAGTCTTCTCTCCTAGTTCTTAGGCTTCCCTAGGGATAAGAGGTCCAAACTCTTCTACACCCAAAATCCTGGGTGCAGAGAAGAGTAAAGAATCTAGGTGGCAACAGAGTTTTTTATAGTTTCAATTGACTTGAAGGTTAGAATTTTAAAAGAAAGGAAAGTCTTCTAAAATTAGCAGCAAAACATATGTACCTTTTTAATAGCTCTTTTTAAAATTGTGCGTGACATTGATCTTTACTGGCTTTCTGATGGAACTTTGAAGTTTTACACATTCCTAAAATTGAATTTAATAATGTCAATTTAAAAAATTCCTTCAATTTCCTATTGTACTAAAGTTGCATGCCTATTCCTCTTTCATAGCTATGTGCTTTTGAATAAGCATGTCTTCTATTGCATACTAAATTAAGAAGAAACAATATACTTGAAATTAGATAAATGTGACTTTTAGGAGATCAGGATCATAGAATTGGTACCTGAAGTATACTTTTAGGAAAGTTGGAATTAACACAGCCTTCCATGGAAGAGTCACTGTGGCATGAAGTTACCCTCCCAGTTTTAAAACATTTCCAAATTTATTATCAAATTATGCTTTTATCTGTAAAATACATGAGTATACCTTAGGCATCACAGTTACCTATTCTGATGATGATGGTGATGATGATGATGATGATGATGATAACAGTAAAAACAAGTTATTTAATTAATGCTTAGTATGTAGCAGGTACTTTGTTAAATTTTCTCCACAACTACCCTCTGAAGTAGATGTTACTATCCCCACTTCAAAAACATAGAAAAAGAGACACAGAGAGTTTGTGCAAGTACCCAATATCCTGTAGTATGAAGTGACACAGCTGAGGCTGACCCAGGTGTGTCTGCCTCAGGGATCCGCCTGTGCCCCTGCTCTTCTCTCTGTACAACACAACCCCCCTCCTTGCAGTCCAGGCTTTGATGGGACTGTGTGAATGAAACCTGTCTCCATACTCCTGGCAAAATGTGCTAGATTTATGGGAAACTGCGACTGATTTGCAAGTGCAAGTTTGGCGTAAAGTCTCATTTAAAATGGCAGGAATCTACATTTTGAAATCGAGCTGCATAGAAGCAGAACCAGGGCGGTTATTACACCTGCTGCCCACATCCATCTACTTGCAATTGTGTAGCCATGCATGTCACATTAAATTAGTGTAGTTCTGTGAAATGATGAAGTTAGAAACTACTGTTACTGAAATTTCTTAAAATTATATAAAATGATGTGATAGAGAAAAGGGATTTTATTTGCAAAGCGTAGTTTCTGAAAATATGCAGAACTCCCTTGGTTCCATTTGCTTTCATTTTTATGAGGCAATAAGAGGTAAACAAAAGAGCTCTGGCTTCAAAGCCACCTTCTTCGTTAGGGTTAATGTTGGTTCCTTTAATTAGTGACTGTATGACTCTTAGTAATTTATTTATTTCTTTGAGATTCTGATTCCTTATATTTCAATTTAGGTAATACCTCTCCTGAAGCATTGTAATAAGAAAGAATGCTTGTAAAGGATCTAGTCAGTGATAGAAACATAGTACATGCTTGACACAGGATCAGTCTTATTAAAATAATAGTGTTTGTGAAATACAGTAATGTCTAATCATAAGGGACTCATATATTTGTGCAGTGAATTAAAAACAACCCTCTAAGTCAAGGTGAACCAGAGTCGGTTAATAAAACAACAGTTTGTACTTTAATTTTCAGGGAAGAAATAGAGAAATAAGCATAAGGAATGGGAATGGATGCAAGGAAGGCAAGAAGGAGGGAAGGAAGGAAGGAATTATCTTGGGGTATGGAGAGCACTCTATTTACCAAGAGTGATAGTGTGCAATGAACTGCAGAATATGACTAACACAATCTGTACTAGATAAAAAAGTAAATACTTATTTTTGTAACCTTGGGATGATAAGGATCTTTCTAACTATGATATCAAGATAGGAAAAAAAAAAAGACAAAGGAAAAAATAATTTGAAACAGAATAGGTACATGTATATGTACAACTGAATCACTTTGCTGTACACCTGAAACACATTATTAATCAACTATACTCCAATATAAAAAATTTAAAACTCTATATACTAAACAAAGAACCATGTATATTACAATAAAAATGGAGAGTCCAAAAAAGAAAAGAAAAAGCAGGCAAGCTTTTACTCCTGAGAACACAAAATAAAGTAAAATAAACCAAAACAAATAAACAAAACAAAATCTAGTCTGAAAAACTATTAAAAGAGAAACATCAAATTTGGGAGATAAGCACAATTTATGTAAGAAAGTGTTTGTATATAAACAGATTCTCACCCCTCACCCCCACCAACAGAAAATTGGGCAGAGTTCCTGAACAGGATATTCACAAAGAATCCATGCACATTTAAAGTAAGCATGTAAACAGTTGTTCCATCTCATCAGAAGTTACAGAAATGCAAACAAAAACAAACATGAAAAACTATCTCGTCTTTTTTTTAATGCAAAAATAAAAACAAAATTGTTGATATCTGGACAGAAAGATATCTTGGAAAGTAGACACTTAACAGTTTGTGGGGATATTTATTAGGGTAAATTTTCTGGAGGGAAGTTAGAAATTATGTATTAAAAATCTTTATAGAATTGATTTATCTTCTAAAATTTTCCCTCCAGATACATTTGGAGAAATGTAGAAAGATATCTGTCACAGCCTACTCAATACACATATATACATACAGATATACAAACATATGTACCTACTTACCTCCATGTATACATACATATATACAGAAATGGAAAACCCCTGGTAACCATTACAGACATGTAAAAAGATGATACTAGATCTGTATGGTGGATAAGAGAGATTTAAAGTTGTGATGAAACTGCATTTTACAAATATGTAAATACTTTATATAAAAATGTTAAATAACAAAAGCATACAAGGTAAGATCCCATTTTGTAATATAATTTGTAGAAATAATCACATGTATGTGTACTATTCAAAGATAGTCATTGAAATTTCACTTGCAAAATCTTTGCTATATGAAAAATTATTTTATAAATAAAATTTAAAAGTCAACCATACTATTTACAGTTTAATTCATAATTTTATACACCCATAATGTCCAAATAAACTTAAGGAAAAAAAAAGAAGCTGCCTATAGTTTTACTAACGAGAGGGAATCATGGTTATAAATTCATTCTATTTTCCCAATCTTTAAGAAGTTACATTAATAAAACGTATATGCTCTTTTACTGAATATTTAATGAAGCATGTGTTGTTAAAACCTGGCAAAATATTCTTTTACCTCCCAGTAAAAAATAACACCACCTCCTAATCGACTCTAATGTGTTGATGTTTAGATACCAGCTAATAAGCAACTGGGATCTATGTCAAAGTGATAGACCTGCAGTTTAGTGACCAGTGTTTCAGTCTGGTCCTAATTGGTAGAGTAGAACTTTACCACTGCAGTTCTATTGCTAAATTATTATTGTTAAGAATGATTGTAAGCAAAATACAAATTAAAAAGACATACAAGCTCACCAGGTATCACTGGCTTCTCAATCTGACCAGCACATCAGGATCAGCCAGAGCCAGCATCCACTGACCCTTGGGCAAAACATTAGTGTAAGGCAGAGCTTCTCAACTGTTGTACTGATGGCACTGGGGGTCAGATACTTCTTTGCTGTGTGGAGTTGTCCTGTGCACTGTAAGATGTTTAGCAGCATCTCTGGCTTCTACCCAGTTGATGCCAGTAGCACCCCACCTTGGCTGTGACAACCAAAAACATCTCAAGAGATTGCCAAATGACAATACGGTGGGGTGGGAGAAAAGTAACACCAACCATAGTATCAGTTGTCTTAGAAAAGCTTGTCTTTTTCGATTGGGTCCTTCTGAATTTTTTTAATATTAAAATACTCTTTTTTTTAAATAAAATAATAGTGATAGTGGATGGTAAGTCTTTTGCGTTAAAGTTTTTCTTCCCCCACTATCATTTGTTTGTCTTGAATGTGTGTATATGCAGATGTTTGTGTGTGTTTATGACCTTATGTGGAAAAACAGAATAATTTACAACATGTTTTTCCTCTCATTTAAAACAAATTTACAGGCCTGTGCAATCCCATACTTGAGTACCTTTGGCAAAAAGCATTGTTTCATCTTTTACTTTGAAAATGTTTCTAGACACTATAGATTTTGTTTGTGAGCTGTTTACATTGAGGCTGCAGTAAAAATGGATTTTCCAAATACCCTGGAGTTTTACCATTGAAAGCCTGACTCACTGAGCCCTTAATTTTATTATCTGCTTGTGCTCATCCATAGGCACAGCTTCATCTACATCCTGTCTCAGTGCTAAGTTAGGCTCACACGTCAGGTGCTGCCTCTTGAGCAGAGTCTCATTTCTAGTTCCTGAATGGAGTTTTACTTGGAAAAACCTGTATGCTGCTAAGTGCCTTCCTAATCCAGAGGTTTGCCTCTCCAAATTCACATTCAGAAGACAGGAAGAATTATGTTTTGTTTGTTTAACTTTGGTGTGTGTTCTGACCATATGGATTTACCTTGTATACTTTCAATGTATTGTTAGGGCTGCTGATGTGGAACACATATTACTATGAACTCTGTGTTTTCGTTTTGCAGCAGCAAAGGAATTTTAACCATTTTGAATCTCAGACATGTAAAATAATTTTTTTGGAACTGCGTGAAAGAAAGGAATTGAAATACCTGCCTTCTGTATAGAGGGAAGAGGTCTTTAATTGATATCTAACAACATAATATGGGAAGAAGTAGATATATTGAGCCTAGTGGTAATTGGAGAATTATGGATATTATTGGTAGTATAATGATAAGCATAAATATGCAAAATAAACTTGCTGTTTTTAGCCCTTAAGCTTAGATTCAACCAGTTCCCAAAGAATCTAAGTTTAAGTGCTAAAATCAGCATACTTAGATTCTTTGGGAACTATTGGAATAACATACCAACACTGTGACTCAGAACACTCTCCATATTCTCTTTCTTTTTTTTTTCAATTGATAATAAAATTTTTAAAAATAAATAAGAAAAATGTAAAGTTATCCTATAATTAAGGAAAGAAATTACTCAAAAACTGCATTATTAACTCATTACACAGACAAGCTGTACTTTATTCCAGGTACACTTGAAATGTACTCTAAGAATTACTATGGTCCAAGTGATTGGGTAATAACTGGTTAAATTATAACAACAGTCACAAGTTCTCAGTTTGTTACATGGAAAAGTCATGTTGGACTAAATGAATTGTCCAAAGTAGGTCAACCATTTAATGAGAGACCCAACTCAGTGCTTTCTCTATTACCACATTTCCCCTGCTTATCACTATCCATCTGCCCTTCCTCCCCATTGACTTCTCCCAGTCATTTATTTCTCACTAACATACTCATTTTGTTACTAACACTGAATTAAAATACAGTCTTAAAGTTTTCAAATGAATATCTCATTTTATTTTTGTTTGGTAAATCTTTTTATTTATTTATTTAATTTCTTTTTTATACAGAAGGTTCTTATTAGTCATCAGTTTTATATACATCAGTGTATACATGTCAATCCCAATTGCCCAATTCATCACACCTCCACCCACAGCCCTGCATGGCTTTCCCCCCTTGGTGTCCATACATTTCTTCTCTACATCTGTGCCTCAATTTCTGACCTGCAAACCAGTTCAT